GAAGTTAGTAGACCGAGTAGACATTGCCTGGTTTCGTAGTGTTAACAGAGAGATGACTGCTTGAGGAGTCATGGCTTGTATCTTGACCCAACGATCTTCTGGGATCACAATTCGATTCTGTGTTGTGATAATCTTATCCCCAGAAATTGAAGATCTTGTTTTGGTTCCAACTCGGACTTCATCAGGTTCACTAGCCATCCTAGTTGCGTGAGCAACTTGATTGTTAAGTTCAGCTGAGTTGATCTGCTTGTTGATGCGTCTAGATTGCATTGTCTAGGCAGAATGCACTGCAAAGTCTCCGCTGATGCATCAGTGGGCTTCGTTACACATGTAAATAGTCCCGGGGCCAAGGAAATTCCAAAGGAAAAATACCCTTCATTTCTGCAACAGGCAAGCAAGGGACGTAACTCTAACTTGACATTGCGCGACTCACAGAGATGGGTATCACTACCATTTCTTTCTTCTTGTGCGCTTCTCATCCTCGAGATAGGCTTCAGCGATGACAATAACCTTGTCCAGAATGGCAATTTGCAGTGATGATACATCGTTCTTCCCCTTATATACGCAGATGATCTGTGTTGATCAGCATACATCGAAGCGTTGCCTATTTATAGCAAGACTGGTTCCAGTGTAGTATCGAAGAAGACAGGTACACATACAGGCTTTTATCAGCGAAAAATTCCAAGATAAACATCGTTTATCCTGCTGCCACATCTATTAGATTCCCATGATGATAACAGGCCGTAGCTGTATGCTGTTTTCAAGGCTGCAGATGAAGTATTCCCCCGTACAACGGGTTTGTTTACAAGTCAGTAACCTTGCTGGCGCTTGTTCTGTCAGTAAGAGGCGTTGTCTGTCCTGGACCAATCAGCTTCAAGCATGACGTCACCTAGGCCTCCATAAAATCTGGTGCAATAGTTGGTTGAGTAAAAGCACGTGCTCATATAAACCTCTTGAATAAGGGTTGCTCCAAGTGTAAAATATTGTTCTGTGATATTAATCACGTATTCCCAATGTGGATAATATAAGCCAGCATGACGAAGGAGGCTGTCGAGACGTATGTCTGTATGGATCTTGAAGAATACTGATGTTGAATCTAGGTGATAGGATATAGATTCCTAATCCCCACACTGAGTGACGAGTGTTAATAATATCATCTGTATGTCCGTCCAAGGATTCTTGAAGGCGTTAACCTTAAGCCCTTTACGAAGGTCGCCTTGAGGTTCTCCAGTACTTGAGATATCAGCTTCATAGGTGATATCATATTGGAGTCGAAGTCATCAGCATATATGCAGTATGTCTCTATTGGGTTGGAGTGAGTGAGTGAACGACAATATCAGCAGGCCATCTGCTACCCAGGATAAGACCTCAGCATCCGTGTAGATAAAGGGATTCCCCTCATCAAGTAGGTTGTCGTCCGAAACTGAACCTACTACAGGTGTAAGGTTCGTGCAGGCTGTAGGGTTGTGCAGGCTGTCAGCTGTAGAGATCGCACATGTTGTTGATCTTTTATTGTTGAGTTATAAGTGCTGACAAAACCATCCGTTTTCATTCTGACTGCAGATTCTTGAATGTTTTAATCATTGCTTCGTTTTTATTCAGCCGTATGTTAATAGAGTCGACGTCATCATCCTGCCTGTTGATCCAAGGGTTCGCGAACCCTATAGACGTCCGAACCTTGTAGATGTCTGCGTTGCTGATATCTGCTTGTTGATGTGTTCGCGAAACCCTAGCGTTCGCGAACCTTGTAGATGCCTGTGTTGCTAATATCGTCTGTTGATCTGAGGGTAAACGAACCCTGTAGATGTCTGCGTTGCCTCTTCTCGAAACTTCCTGTTTGATCTAGATCTGGAACGGCTGGCTCTTGGGTATGGATTCCTAGGCGTTCTCGAACGTTGAGGGTTCGCAGACGAAGTTGTCGTAGAGTTAGTAGCCTACGCGAACCTTCCATCTTGTTCTATGATGACAGAGTCGTCCGAATGTGATGACCTTCTTGAATGTACACGTTCGCCAACGTTGTCTGCAGATGTAGATCTGTGAGGCGTATTAGGTTCGTGTTGGTCTGAGGGTTTGCGAACGTTGTCAGTTGATGAGAGGTTCTGTCGTGCCTTCGCTTCCTCATCAAAGCATCGTTCCATCATGGCCATCATATGAGTAGTAAATTGCCTCATAAAGTCGCCTGGATCGAAGTTCTGCGTTGACTGGAACTGATTCGGCATTGATGAAGCATTCGCAAAGGCTGACTTGTTGTGTGCTTCAACTTCACTGCATTGAGAAGTTGGTGGTTGGTCGTTAAACAGCTGGCCCGCTGTTGTAGTTGCAGGAGACGATCTAGTAGTTGTGGAGGTCGACAGCGTCGCCGATCTAGTAGGTACTTCCGGCAGCAGTAACGGTGGTTCATCAAACACGTCTGCCTCGTGTGGTAGGATGATCTCCTCATTAAACGACCTCTGATGAGTTGACTTGCTAGGTCGTGTTGATTTCGATGTTGACCTAGTTATAGATGCCCTTTTCTGCTTTGTGGATGAAGCAGTAGTCTTTTTCTTACTCTGAGAGGGCGTCTCTGTCGTAGCAGACCTCTTTTTCGACCTGTAACAGACGACTGCCCCTGCAACGTACTCAACATAGCACCAGAATTATGTATTTCTGCAGTAGTAAACAACCTACAGTTACTGGCTTGATCTCCAGGTTTATCAACCGTGACTTGCGATGACTTCCTCAACCGCTCCATGGCACGTCTATAGATATAAGACAATTATTGGATAAATTGCAAATTTGATAACCACTGCAATATATACAATGTGAGGTGGAAGAACATGGCTTAATGCACGATGGACATTGGGGGTGAGGATCAGCCACTGATAGCCGGTGCCTGCAAACAATGCAAGATTTCATTAAATGTAAACAATTTACATTACGATGAAAATGTGTCACAAATTACAATAATTTCTTCAAAATTAATACAATTAATACATGATAGTTATAGCCAAATACCATACACAGCGTAAATTTGATAAATAGGATCTAAATATAAAGGATATCTGCCGTATATGGGACTCCAGCTCTCGTTGAACCATCCGCTTGGGCGAAAAGGGAGAGAGTGACAAAGGCTGGTCACATGACTGTTTGCGTGGGGAAAGGGAGGTAACTCGTGGGTGAGTGTATTTTTACGTCCGCTTCGGGAACTACAAAGGATTCAAGTGTTCCACTACCATTTGCAAGGGAAAGGGAGATAAGCAAAAGAACATGAGTCAGGATAAGGAAAAATCATGTTTTACAGTGAGTGAGTGAGTTTAGTTTTACACTATGTAGCGGTGGTCTGTAAATAATCAAGTCTGGACCAGACAGTGATCAACAGCATGGGCATCGATCTACACATTTGGGATACTCTTACATATGTCAACAAAGTCAGTCAGTCTGACCACCAGATCCTGTTAGTCGCCTCTTACGACAAGCATAGGTTACTGAAGACCAATTCTTACTAGTGCTGGTATTGACATACAACCTGCGATACGATCTATCACGATACTACAATTTTTGTCACAACGATATATTGCCAAAGTATTGTGCACTGAAGCTGCGATACGATACGAATCCCGATAAAAGGGTGGCGATACGATATGTATCACGTTACTAAAACCTTTAATTCAAACACCAACAATAAAACACCTTAAGATCAAAACAAAAACAATGTTTAAATAAAAGAAACTTTAATTTGAAAAAAGTCACATAAAGCACTTTTTAAAACCAAGTACAAAATAAATAAAACATAATACTGTTATAAACAGAAAAAATTGGGCTTTTAGTAGCCAGAAATCCAAATGTCTTCCAAACAGTAGCTTTAAGAACAGCCGGGGCTTCCACGAACAAAACATTACCATCCACCATTTTGACTGGCGCAGGGAGTTGAAGGCAGTGCTTCATCAACTTTCGGTTTTTAATTTCAGTGCATTTACATGTTTATTCTATTATAAACATAACTTGTATACAGTTTCTCGGTAATTTCAAGTAAATATAAGTGATGATTAACAGCAGCTAGTGTTTTAAAGTATTTCGTCAAAGTCAGCCATTGTTGTTCATTCGGAAACGAGCTTATTAAGTTTATACAGTGACTTTGTTAATGTCATCCTTGATAATCTCTAGGGTATACTTTCCGATAAATCTTCACTATATCCTGGATACATCTACGGCTCAAGCCGATGATTTTATTACCTCCCTTGGTTGGCTTTTTAACCAATCAGGTGTCTACGCTGGGAAGTTGAGCGTACCAATCACAACTCACTTTTGCCTTTTAAATTATCTAACCATTAAACTTGACAACACAATAATATATTGTTGCAGAGGTACTCTGAAAGAGGTAGAAGGAGTTCTTGCACATATGTTTTTATGGTTTCAGACCTGTCAATTTGTCTGTATGTTTTCCCCAAAATCTGAGTCAAATCTGCGAACATACTTTTGCGGCTGCGACTGCTATCTTTGTTGGCACTGGCAAGCTCGGTTGTAACAGCAGCTTATCTGATTGGCTACTGTGAGAATGTGGAGCCAGCAAATGGAGGTAATAAAATCATCAGGCTGAGCCATAGATGCATCCAGGGTATAGTGGAGATTTATCGGAGCATATACCCTGGAGATTATCGAGGATGTGTGAATGTTGATAACATGTGATCGCTATGTCTGACACAGTTCTTGAAGACAAGAATTTCCGCGAAAACGTTTACTTATGAAGGGAAAAAAAGTATGTATATCTTTTAAAGTATGTCTTTAATCTTGACAGATATCGAGATTCGGCAATATTCCAAGTTGAACATTGCTGTATTGTGGCCATTTTGAATTATCATATCGGGATATGCGACAATGTAAAACTTTGTATCGATTCACTATATCACCGGCCCATGGACCTATGCATCAATGCGTAACGATGAATCGTCTCACCACTAATTCTTACCCGGATCTTCATGGGTCTATTAAGTAAGGACCTTGGTTTACTTTTTGTGTTTCAGCAAAGTTGACGGCTATGGGTTTCAGCGACCAGAAGACTTCGACTTTAAGTCATATGAGGATTTCATGGCTTCCTACCTGTCAGTGCTGGCTCGCCGGGCGCAGAGATGGAAAAACACTGTCGGCGATCAGTCGACACTTTCAAAATCTAGAAAAAGTTAGTGTTTTTGTCAAATACTGGAATTAAACACATACCAATTCAATACTGCTATAGTTTTACAAATAACAACTGTTACAGTTCTGTGAGATGTGATGTGTATTCAACTGATAGCAGAACCAATACAGAGTGAGTGAATTATATTGCTTAACGACGCATCCGTATTGTTGCAGCTATTTGCAGCAAGACCAATATATACTAGGCAGCAAAAGAAATGTCAGTTAGGAATTTTCCTTCGCAGAAACAGATACCTGTAAACTCATGTAATGTTTTGATTGTATATTATTGACAACATCTCAAACTTTACCTGAGCAAAGACATTACTTCCCAAACTGAGAATGGAACCCAGGAAATGGTCTCAAAAACGCAACCTGATCATCGGAGATGGTACGGTGTTCTCCATGTTTTTCATGCAACTCATGCTGCACGTGCTGTTCACAAGCACCAGCCCTATAAAATGCACCCCCAAACCTGGTTGAAACATTCACATTACAACGTCCTCAGGATGCTGCGACAGCTCAGAGGAACCAGGCGCTAGGAAGACTTGAAGCTGGCCACACTGCACAAGCCGTTGCCAATCACTTCCAGGTCAACGTTCAGACCATCTACAGGCTGGGCTACCAACACCACAAAAGATCGCCCCTGTACTGGCAGACCAAGCGTGACCACAAGACGACAAGCCCACCATGTTGTGCGACAGCATGTACAGAATCCCTTCATGCAGGCATCCGAAACAGCACGCCAGACAGTTGAAACACACGTAAGACCAATCAGTACTGATACAGTACGCTGACGTCTTAACGGGAACCTCCAGCGGGAACCTCCATTGTGCCGTAGACCTTACCGTGGACCTATCCTCACCCCTCGTCATCGGCGTGAATGTCTACAGTTTGCCCTACAACACCAAAACTGGCAATACAGGCAATGGAGAACTGTTCTGTTCACAGATGATAGTCGGTGCTGCGTATCAACTGCAGATGGCAGAACAAGAATATGGTGACGACGTAGCCAGCGTTACTCAGACCAATGTGTTATGGAAAGAGACTCATGGGGAGGTGCAAGCATCATGGTATGGGGTGGAAGAGGCCTGAACCAGAGTGTGGGTCCTGTGGTGTTCCAGAACCTTGGTCCAGGGAGAGGAGGCGGCATCACAGCGGTGCGCTACATCGACCAAGCTCTCAGACCCCACGTCACACCACATTTCGCACGTCACCGGAACAACATTTTCCAACATGAAAACGCCCGGGCCCATACTGCCAGAGCTGCATGGGATTTCCTACAGCAGAACGGTGTCAACAGTTTGCAGTGGCCAGCCCTTAGTCCTGATTTAAACCCAATTGGACATCTTTGGGATGAAATTCCGACAAGACTGAATAATGTCATACCAAGGCCAAACACAGCCGATTTATTGCGCCAGGCCTTTCTCAGAGTGTAGTTCCAGGTGCCAATGGCCTTCGTCAAGCGATTGGAGCACTTCATGCATAGATGCTGTGCTGCAATTATTGCCGCTCGTGGTGGTCACACTAGATACTGAAGTCAAGAGTCTGAATGGACTGCAAACGTTCACGTAATGTCTTGAAATTGTGCTGAGTTATTCATTGATGAGTCAAGATATTGTACACAAAAAAAATTCTTGATCTGCTTATTATGTCCATTTCTGTAATTATTTGATTACAGTGCCTATCTAATTTTGAATTCGTACTGACATTTCTTTTTGCTGCTGAGTATAGAAGAAGTAATTTTAATTCTCATATTAGCATTACTGCATTGAATGAAAAGTTAAACTTCAATGTTGAAATACCTCAGAGTTAGGAAAACCAAAAACTTATCAAGGATTCCTGAATGCCTGTGGCAGGAAATTTGGGGAAATTTTTTTTTCAGAAAAAACATTTTAAAATCCATGAATAGTCAGTCAAGGAATCCTGGATTTTCTTAGAAACTTAACTAACTCATGAAATTAATTAGGACATACATGTTACAATTTAGTTGGTCTGCTCACACAGAATTATCAGCAATTCCATCCTAAGTTCTTTTGGCAGCAATTTTTCAGATATTTTAGAAAAATATCAACTTGACAGAATCGAATCACTTTCCCTTCTTACTTGTCCATGCTGAAAGTTTGGTATAGATATCTGTTCATTTGATAATATATTTTCTTTTCAGTTAAAAGGTTTTGCAGGAAAGGAGTACCCTCAGATATAAGAGCTGATGTAAGTTGTTTTTAAAATTTCATTCATCTAAAAAAACATTAGAGTCTCATGTCTCTCAGAAAATTATTTAATAGTGCATACTATGTTTAAGAATGTTTAAACCTTAATATTATTCACTGTTTAAACCTTAATAATATTTAGGATTACACCTTCTCAGTAATTAAAAGTGCACAGTTAGACTACCGGTCGTCAGACTTCCATTTTTGTGGAAACCGAGGTGGCTGAGTGGGTTAAACTGCTGACCGTGTGTGCTGCTGATTAGGTGCCTCACTCTTAGACTGTCGGTTCAAATCCTGGATGGGACTCAACCCCAAAAGTACTGGAATGTATACTTGACTGAGTATAACGCTGATGCATATGTTGCATTTGACGAAAAAGACAAAAGGTACTGCGTATTTACATACATTTGTGCCTTTTGTCTGCATATTTCTCCGTCATGTAAAACCCTGTTTCACATATTTGTTGCCATGGAAACAGGTATGGATGGTTGTGAGTGGTGCTGAGCAAAGAAGAAAGGAAGACCCAGAACTGTACCAGCGCCTTGTTGAAAACCAGCTCGACGACACGCACCCCGTCCAGTGTTCCATCAACCTAGGTACGTGACTTGTTGTGCTTACATTCGGCATCGCTGCAGTCTGCACACAAGTATGTTATATGTTTGTTGGATTTTCAGATTAAATTTATCCCCATAATTAATTCCTGAATTACTTACAGGGTTGACCCGTGAAGATCCGGGTTAGAATTGGTCTTCAGTAACCCATGCTTGTCGTAAGAGATGAATAATGGGATCGGGGGGTCAGGCTTGCCGACTTTGATGACACTTGTCATTGTATCCCAATTTCATAGATCAATGCTTAAAATCTTCTCAAGTACAGCGTTAAACCCCATTTCACCTCACCACCTCATTTTCTCCATTCAGAACTGCCTGTTTACATTCAGTATTGTGATACAAAAGTTTTATGCTGCTTAGACTAAGGCTTAGTCTCTGAATATATATAATTTTGATAGTAACAAACAAGCCCATTTAAATTGAAAAGGAGCCCTAGGGAGACCAGAGATTCAGAACCTGGGGAAATCTAGACTTGCTTTGTTTAGGGCTTTAGCACTACAGGGAAGGCTAGGCTGTAGGGAAAATAATGTGGTTCAGGGACTGTGAGACAGACTATATGCTGCTCTGTATGTTTAACTGAGACTTAAAGGCCTCCAAGCTGATTGGTTGATCAGAAAGAAGCAGTTGCAACTGATGTGTGTAACTTGTCAGATCAGACCTGTGAAGATCTGGTTAACAACTGGTTAACAACTGGTCTTCAGGAACCCATGCTTGTCGTAAGAGGCGACTAACGGGATCGGGGGGTCAGGCTCGCTGACTTGGATGACACTTGTCATTGTATCCCAAATGCGTAGAAACAATGCTCATGCTGTTGATCACTGGATTGCCTGGTCCAGACTTGATTATTTACCAGCCACCACCATATAGCTGGAATATTGCTGAGTGCGGCTTTCGCGAAGACCGAGGTAAACAACAAACAAATCAAACCAAACTAACATTGTTAGTTAACTGACAGCTCTCTTTGTTTGTGAACCATGCGTTTCTGTGTGTGATGTCACACTTTTAGTTCATGGCTGATTCAATTGTAAACCAGACCAATAAAGTACACTGAGTTTAAAAAACTAATTGCCAGCCTGTTTAGATTGCAATAAAGAATGCAATAAATAACACATGAATGTAGGATTGTTGTTTTCATTCCCACCAACTAACATGTAAGGTGCATTTCTTGTGTTTAAATGTACACACCCAAAGAATGTTGATAAAATATGTTGAAAATGAAGATAATATTTGTCTGTACTCTTCCTAAGCCTAAAGTGGAAGAATGTTATAAATTTGAGAATAGATTAATAGAGTGAGGTTATAACTAGCCCTGATATGAATCGAACTGTATCCTTCATGAATTAGAATAGTTGTTTGTGGTCACTTGAATAAATTATTTGTCAATCGGTTTCAGAGAGTATTCTTTACTTGGAACTAGGTTTCTGTTTATCTAAGTAAGATATGCGAAATAAGATGTATCCACGCCATGCTGTAGCGCAACTTATGTCAGTGACTGAGAGAGTTTAGTTTTACACTGCTTTTATATCACGTCAGGGGACACCAGAAATGAGCTTCAGAAATTGTACCCAGTGGTACTTTATCCTGTCTATGTTTATTTCAGTACTTAATAAGGCCACTTTATCCTGTCATTAGGATATAAGCAGCATTGTTCGTGATGTATTGCTTTTTCTAAGTACAGAGATGGTAATGTTCCACTGATCCGCGGATTTCCGCCTATTTTATTTCAAATTGATCACTTCTGTGAATCGTCTAAACCCGTCATTCGATGACACAATATTAAGTTTTCTGCTGAAAGTAGATTTTCCTGTTGCCATCCCTGAAAATAGAAAATATCACTTAAAAGTTTCAACTTACGTGACATGTTCCTTATTTTAATTCCTAAATATTAACCATAAAATATTCATGAATAAATATTCATATTCTTTACTTTATATTCGTACAACATATCATATTCAACTCATAATGTATTCGTTGCAGTCAGCTATAACATTTATCATCACATATGTTTATGGAATAGAAACATGTAGATAAATATTAGTTCTTAATGACCGAAGGGTCAGTAGGTTTGTAGTTGGTGACCTGTGTTGAAAGTAGTCCATGTGTACAGCCACAGATCAGACCACAGCCATTGTTCACCAGGTTGTAAATACTTGCTGTCAGAGAGTCGACAGTCTCGGTCCCCTTGAACAAGGCATGCTCAGACACACAAATACACCCTATGATCAACGTCTCTGCCTTTACTGCCACTCTGTCGGCCAAAACTATGTTGAAGTCGAGCTCCATGTCCTACTTATCCGTGGTAAATATTCTGACATAAGAAACAAGTGTTTCAACATCCCATCAGACTCAGCCTCCAACAATTGAAACCTTTGTGCATTTAATTACCTGTAACAACATTAATTATATAAAACTAAGAAGTAAACCCACCGCTATGAAATGATTAATCTTGAATTTCACTCGTCACCCAATATTCAGCATGTTTGCATTATGTTTGTGAGTGAGTGAGGAGTTTAGTTTTACGCCACTTTTAGCAGTATTCCAGCAATATCACGGCGGGGAATACCAGAAATGGGCTTCACACATTGTACCCATTTGGGGAATCAGTTTGGGGTCTTCGGCGTGACGAGCAAATGCTTTAACCACTAGGCTACCCCCCACCCAGCATTATGGCCTACATTATTGAAATAAAATGTCTGTCTGTCTAACAGGCAACATTAGCCACTTGGGTTAAAACTAACATTGCTCTAGTCCAGAGTTACACCCATTCACAAATGTTAAATGTTAAATCTCATTGTTAATTTGGGGTTGCCAGCGTTTGTACTAAGTCCTTCAAGTCTTTCTCTCAGACTCCTGTAGGGGTGGGTATTGCAGAGAATTTTTATATTGCGATATATTGCGCTATGCGAAAACATATATTGTGATATGTATTGCAATATATTGAAAGAAGTTTTTTCAACAAAAAAAACTACTTATACTTGAGTTAATGCTTGATTTATAAACCAAAACAAAACAAAATCATCATGTTTGATTAAGCTTTAATAAAAACTTTTAATCCTGACAAAATAAAAATGTAAATAATATTTGGCACAAATGAAACAAGGCAATATCTGAAGATTTCCGAGTGTTACGAAGTTTTCCGAATGCATGTAAAAATACCGGTTTTCGATCAGCGTATCGCAATACGTATCGTTTTCATGTCTGAACCGGTAAATACCGGTAAACTGGTTATATTGCGCAGCCGTAGACTCCTGTCACAAGAACATTACAGGGATCGAAATTGTGATTAATTTGTGTGCAATGGCTCGGAGAATATTGAAATGGCACAGATGGAATATTTTCAGTTTGCCCTGACGGCATGACTAAAATTAGAAAAATAATGCCATTTTTCATTTAGTAGAAAATGGGATGAATCTGACCAACTCAAATTTTTCAAAATCTACTTTTGCAGCCTATCAAGCTGTCTATCGGTGACACTCTATCTCATACTCTTAACATAGGCATGGCTGTTTTGATTGCCAGTGCACTGACAGGAAATCATGTTCTGGATGATAGTTCGTGGGTAAGTTTTATGGATTCAGGACAAAGGAAGCTGAACACTCCTTGCAGCCATGATAGTGTACAGGAAAATCCTGTTAGCAAGTTTACATGATGTTTACTGATTATCAAACAATAAAGTGAAATGGCAAAATTGTTCTGAAGTTTTAATTCTAACTGGATCCCCAAAAGGTGATGGGAACCTTTAAAAAAATTACATTTCTATCCCACCGGTGTCAGTCCATGTTTCTATTGACTGGTTTGTTTCGGGTTTATGTCCACTTTAGCAAAAGGGGGCGGTGGGGTAGCCAAGTGGTTAAAGCGCCGCTCGTCATGCTGAATACCAGGGTTCGAATCCCCACATGGGTACAATGTGTGAAGCCCATTTTTGGTGTCCCCCGCTGTGATATTGCTGGAATATTGCTAAAAGCGGCGTAAAACCATACTCACTCACTCACTTTAGCAAAATTGTAAATCCATCTCCGCTGATGGCTACTTTCATGTAATTTTCATTGTGGCTGCGCAACAGCATTGGCAGCCATGTTTTCTAAGCTGTGTTGTGCTGTTTGGGCGAAAACCTTTGTGGGTTCAAATCTCAGTGTGACCTAAATATATGTGTCTAGGTTTGTCAGCACCATTTATACCCATGAGTTTTGCCAGAGTGTTGATGTTTTAGATATAGATCAATCCAGGTATTGCAAGATCACATGCCATTATGTAACCGAAATCGTGTTGAGAACACAGCTCACTACTCAATATGCCGAGTCGCTCTGTCATGAAGGCAGTTACTGATTCTGAGCTGCTTGGCAGATTTGTGTAGAGTTATACTTCTCTGTTGTAGATATACATCGAACATTCCCAGAAAACATCCATTTTGCTGACACCGAGGATGCCCATGGTCTGCGGAAACCCCTGTGTCGAGTCTTGTCGGCTTTAGCCAAGAATAACACCAAAGTCGGATACTGTCAGGTAGAAATCTGATCATCTTAGTCTTTCATCATCATCGTCATTGTCATCAGCATCATAACCACCACCACCACCATCATCATTCTTTTCATCATCAGCATCACCCCACCGTCATCATCATTATCATGAAAAAATATCATAATTATAATCATAATATTAATAAGAATGTGTTTCATCTGAATATCAGTATGTTAAATGAGATATCATCCTTGAGAGGTAGTTGAAAGATCACTGACTGTGATGCATAAAACAACATGCAGTCACTGTAGATACTGTTTTGAACTTAGACATTTCCTTTTCTTGTACACATATATATATTTCTACTACCTTGGGTCCTGTCTATTTGGAGAAAAATGAATAATAAATAGCCAAATTAAAACAATTCTCCGTACCTAATTGTTGAAAGCACTGCATCCTTACTTTTGCATACTTTGAAAGATTAGAAAAGTGTTGGTGCATTGCAAAACTGTGAGCTACCAATCAGCCTTTTCGGTAATTTTTGGTCATCTCAAAAACAGTATTTTTTAAATCTTTAATCCTTGCACAGACACGAGGGCCTGTGTGTGCAGTATTCAATATTTGATTTTATGGTCAAGGCGTTTGACGTGATGAGCGATAGCTACCCCACCACCATAATGAAAAATATATTTATAAACATATTTGAGATCTACAATATGAACTTTCATGGTAACTAGATCTGTGCTGTGTATATTATGCTAGTTTTCGGTTTTCAACAGGGTCTGAATTTCATAGTGGGCCTCCTGCTTCTTATTGTGAAGGATGAAGACAAGGTGTTCTGGTTGATGGACACACTCATCAACAATATATTACCAGGTGAGATACAGCATACTACCAGGTGATATATAGTATACTACCAGGTGAGATACGGCACACTACTACGTGAGATATGGTACACTACTAGGCCAGATACGGTACACTACTAGGTGAGATACGGTACACTACTAGGTGAGATACGGTACACTACCAGGTGAGATATGGTACACTACCAGGTGAGATACAGTACACTACCAGGTGAGATATGGTACACTACTAGGTGAGATACAGTACACTACTAGGTGAGATATGGTACACTACCAGGTGAGATATGGTACACTACTAGGTGAGATACGGTACACTACTAGGTGAGATATGGTACACTACCAGGTGAGATATGGTACACTACTAGGTGAGATACGGTACACTACTAGGTGAGATACGGTACACTACCAGGTGAGATACTGGTACACTACTAGGTGAGATATGGTACACTACTAGGTGAGATACGGTACACTACTAGGTGAGATACACGGTACACTACCAGGTGAGATACTAGGTGAGTACACTACTAGGTGAGGTAACGGGTACACTACCAGGTGAGATAATGGGCTACTACCAGGTGAGATACACTACCAGGTGAGACTACTAGGTGAGATACACACCAGTAGGTGAGATATGGATACAGCACACTACCAGGTGAGATACAGTACACTACCAGGTGAGATATGGTACACTACCAGGTGAGATACAGTACACTACCAGGTGAGATATGGTACACTACCAGGTGAGATACGGTACACTACCAGGTGAGATACGGTACACTACCAGGTGAGATACGGTACACTACCAGGTGAGATATGGTACACTACTAGGTGAGATATTGTACACTACTAGGTGAGATACGGTACACTACCAGGTGAGATACAGATACACTACCAGGTGAGATACGGTACACTACTAGGTGAGGTATGGTACACTACCAGGTGAGATACGGGACACTACTAGGTGAGATATGGTACACCACTAGGTGAGATATGGTACACTACTAAGTGAGATATGGTACACTACTAGGTGAGATACGGTACACTACTAGGTGAGATATGGTACACTACCAGGTGAGATATGGTACACTACTAGGTGAGATATGGTACACCACTAGGTGAGATATGGTACACTACTAGGTGAGATATTGTACACTACCAGGTGAGATAAGGTACACTACCAGGTGAGATACGGTACACTTCCAGGTGAGATAAAGTACACTACTAAGATGGGATACAGCACACTATTAGGTGAGATACAGCATACTATCTGGGGAGATACGGTACACTACCAGGTGAAATACACTAATTCTATTTCACGGATACAACCAAGTATGAGATAATATACTTCCAGGTGAGATATACTTTACTATACCAGGTGAGAAATATAAACTTTCAAACAATATGTTATCAAATCCGAATTGGAACATAAAACATTTAATCAACTCCATGTTACCAGTTCTAGAAATATAGAGGTAATATATATATATTGATATGTTTTTGTATTCCAGCTTACTATTACCCTGACATGCTGGCCCTACAAGCAGAACAAGAACTTGTTGGGGAGGTGATCAAGTATGTACCTGTCTTATTACTGACCCCACATGGGTAGAATGTGCGAACCCCATTTCTGGTGTGCTCATGAGTAATATTGCTGGAGTATTGCTGCAAGCAGCATAAAACCATACCACACGTCATCGTATCCCAATTGTGTACATTGATGCTCATGCTGTTGATCACTGGATTGTCTGGTCTAGACTCGATTATTTGGAATATCCCAGGGTGCGACGTTAAGCTATACCTAAAAACAACCACAAAGCAATATGAATGTAAGATCAATACAGGTCAAAATTAATTATGTTTTAGAAACAATTTGACGTTACTTATTACAAGGAATCCGCCGTGATGTTGCTGGAATATTGCTAAAAGCGGCGTAAAACCAAATTCAGTCAGTCAGTATTACATGGAATATTGCTGAGTGCGGAGTTAAACAACCAACCAACCAACTGCGTGTTGCAGGTGGAAGCTGCCGGAGGTGGCGGCTCACATGGAGACTCTCGGGGTACAGTGGTGTCTGGTCGGCATGAAGTGGTTCATCTGTCTGTTTGCAGACGTCATGCCTGTCGAGGTGAGGACAGGCACACTCTACTGCAGATTAGACACTGTCATAGATTTCAGTCTGAGAAAACTAAGTGTTGAATTTAGTTGTCTTGCTTTAATTGTTGTGAATGTGTTCATATTGTGATTTCTGAGAGAATGTTTTCCAATTGTGATATTTAGGTGAATGTGTTCATTTTGCAATTTTTGAATGCATGTGTTTTGGGTGAATGTGTTAAAAATGGGATTTTAGTGAGTGTGTTCCTACTGTTTGTTTAAGGTGAATTTGTTCATGTTGTGTTTTCAAAAAAAATGAATAAATGTGTTCATATTGGGGTTTTTTGGTGAATTTGTGATTTCTGAGAGAATGTTTTCTATTGTGATCTTTAAGTTAATGAACAATATTGTGATTTTTGAGTGATTTTGTTGATGTCATGCTGTAGACATTAAGTTAATACTGTAGTGACTAGACAGGTGCTTGACTGGTATGTAGCACACCGATTCAGCAGTGACCTTGGGATGATTCCTTGAATCCATCGATGTCTGTTCCAGTTCACCAGGTCTGTCTTCTGTTTTGCAGACCGTCTTGCGAATCTGGGACTGCTTGTTCTATGAAGGCACAAAAATTTTGCATCGTGTGGCCTTGACCTTAGTTATAGCTAACAAAGAGAAGATTCTGGCCACCAAGACATTTCCCGAGGCTGTAGACCTGTTTCGAATGATCGTATCCACACCTCACATACAAGACTGCCACAAATTTATGAAGGTGAGTGGACCTTCTTACAGACGTCAATTTGTGTGAATTTGGAGATTTGAATTGTGGGACTTCAGAATTAGAGAGTCGAAATACATTACAGGGCCAGACATGTATTACATGGGCAGACACACGTTACAGGTACCAACACATTACAGGATCAGTCAGAAAACATTACATGGCCAGACACATTTTTGAGGTCCCAAGACATTACAGGGCCAGACAAATCCAACAGATTAGACACTGTCATAGATTTCAGTCTGAGAAAACTAAGTGTTGAATTTGAGTTGTCTCGCTTTAATTGTTGTGAATGTGTTCATATTGTGATTTCTGAGAGAATGTTTTCCAATTGTGATATTTAGGTGAATGTGTTCATTTTGCAATTTTTGAATGCATGTGTTTTGGGTGAATGTGTTAAAAATGGGATTTTAGTGAGTGTGTTCATACTGTTAGTTTAAGGTGAATTTGTTCATGTTGTGTTTTTAAAAAAAATGAATAAATGTGTTCATATTGTGTATTTTGGGTGAATTTGTGATTATTGAGAGAATGTTTTCTATTGTGATCTTTAAGTTAATGAACAATATTGTGATTTTTGAGTGATTTTGTTGATGTCATGCTGTAGACATTAAGTTAATACTGCAGTGACTAGACAGGTGCTTGACTGGTATGTAGCCCTGAAGTCGGCACACCGATACAGCAGTGACCTTGGGATGATTCCTTGAATCCATCGATGTCTGTTCCAGTTCACCAGGTCTGTCTTCTGTTTTGCAGACCGTCTTGCGAATCTGGGACTGCTTGTTCTATGAGGGCACAAAAATTTTGCATCGTGTGGACTTGACCTTAGTTATAGCTAACAAAGAGAAGATTCTGGCCACCAAGACATTTCCCGAGGCTGTAGACCTGTTTCGAACGATCGTATCCACACCACACATACAAGACTGCCACAAATTTATGAAGGTGAGTGGACCTTCTTTTGGACAGACGTCAATTTGTGTGAATTTGGAGATTTGAATTGTGGGACTTCAGAATTAGAGAGTCGAAATACATTACAGGGCCAGACATGTATTACATGGGCAGACACACGTTACAGGTACCAACACATTACAGGATCAGTCAGAAAACATTACATGGCCACACACATTTTTGAGGTCCCAAGACATTACAGGGCCAGACAAATCCAACAGACTACATGGTCAGACACATGTTACAGAATCCTACAGATTACATGGTCAGACACATGTTACAGTATCCAACAGATTACATGGTCAGACACATGTTACAGTATCCAACAAATTACATGGTCAGACACATGTTACAGAATCCAACAGATTACATGGTCAAACACATGGTACAGAATCCAACACATTACATGGTCAGACACATGTTACAGAATCCAACAGATTACATGGTCAAACACATGGTACAGAATCCAACAAATTACATGGTCTGACACATGTTACAGAATCCAACAGATTACATGGTCAAACACATGGTACAGAATCCAACAGATTACATGGTCAGACACATGTTACAGTATCTAACAGATTACATGGTCAGACACATGTTACAGTATCCAACAAATTACATGGTCAGACACATGTTACAGTATCCAACAGATTACATGGTCAGACACATGTTACAGTATCCAACACATTACATGGTCAGACACATGTTACAGAATCCAACAGATTACATGGTCAAACACATGTTACAGAATCCAACAAATTACATGGTCTGACACATGTTACAGAATCCAACAGATTACATGGTCAAACATATGGTACAGAATCTAACAGATTACATGGTCAGACACATGTTACATAATCCAACAGATTACATGGTCAAACACATGGTACAGAATCCAACAGATTACATGGTCTGACACATGTTACAGATTCCAACAGATTACATGGTCAGACACATGTTACAGAATCCAACAGATTACATGGTCAAACACATGGTACAGAATCTAACAGATGACATGGTCAGACACATGTTCCAGAATCCAACACATTACATGGTCAAACACATGTTACAGAATCTAACAGATTACATGGTCAGACACATGTTCCAGATTCCAACACATTACATGGTCAGACACATGTTACAGAATCTAACAGATTACATGGTCAAACACATGTTCCAGAATCCAACACATTACATGGTCAGACACATGTTCCAGAATCCAACAGATTACATGGTCAAACACATGGTACAGAATCTAACAGATTACATGGTCAGACACATGTTCCAGAATCCAACAGATTACATGGTCAAACACATGGTACAGAATCCAACAGATTACATGGTCAGACACATGTTACAGAATCCAACAGATTACATGGTCAGACACATGTTACAGAATCCAACAGATTACATGGTCAGACACGTGTTACAGATTCCAACACATTACATGGTCAAACGCATGGTACAGAATCCAACAGATTACATGGTCAGACACATGTTACAGTATCCAACAGATTACATGGTCAGACACATGTTACAGTATCCAACAAATTACATGGTCAGACACATGTTACAGAATCCAACAGATTACATGGTCAAACACATGGTACAGAATCCAACACATTACATGGTCAGACACATGTTACAGAATCCAACAGATTACATGGTCAAACACATGGTACAGAATCCAACAAATTACATGGTCTGACACATGTTACAGAATCCAACAGATTACATGGTCAAACACATGGTACAGAATCCAACAGATTACATGGTCAGACACATGTTACAGTATCTAACAGATTACATGGTTAGACACATGTTACAGTATCCAACAAATTACATGGTCAGACACATGTTACAGTATCCAACAGATTACATGGTCAGACACATGTTACAGTATCCAACACATTACATGGTCAGACACATGTTACAGAATCCAACAGATTACATGGTCAAACACATGTTACAGAATCCAACAAATTACATGGTCTGACACATGTTACAGAATCCAACAGATTACATGGTCAAATATATGGTACAGAATCTAACAGATTACATGGTCAGACACATGTTACATAATCCAACAGATTACATGGTCAAACACATGGTACAGAATCCAACAGATTACATGGTCTGACACATGTTACAGAATCCAACAGATTACATGGTCAGACACATGGTACAGAATCCAACAGATTACATGGTCTGACACATGTTACAGATTCCAACAGATTACATGGTCAGACACATGTTACAGAATCCAACAGATTACATGGTCAAACACATGGTACAGAATCTAACAGATTACATGGTCAGACACATGTTCCAGAATCCAACACATTACATGGTCAAACACATGTTACAGAATCTAACAGATTACATGGTCAGACACATGTTCCAGATTCCAACACATTACATGGTCAGACACATGTTACAGAATCTAACAGATTACATGGTCAAACACATGTTCCAGAATCTAACACATTACATGGTCAGACACATGTTCCAGAATCCAACAGATTACATGGTCAAACACATGGTACAGAATCTAACAGATTACATGGTCAGACACATGTTCCAGAATCCAACAGATTACATGGTCAAACACATGGTACAGAATCCAACAGATTACATGGTCAGACACATGTTACAGAATCCAACAGATTACATGGTCAGACACATGTTACAGAATCCAACAGATTACATGGTCAGACACGTGTTACAGATTCCAACACATTACATGGTCAGCATGGTACAGAATCCAACAGATTACATGGTCAGACACATGTTACAGAATCCAACAGATTACATGGTCAGACACATGTTACAGATTCCAACACATTACATGGTCAGACACATGTTACAGATTCCAACACATTACATGGTCAAACACATGGTACAGAATCCAAGATTACATGGTCAAACACATGGTACAGAATCCAGCAGATTACATGGTCAGACACATGTTACAGAATCCAACAGATTACATGGTCAGACATGTTACAGATTCCAACACATTACATGGTCAGACACATGTTACAGATTCCAACACATTACATGGTCAAACACATATACAGAATCCAACAGATTGCATGGTCAGACACATGGTACAGAATCCAACAGATTACATGGTCAGACACATGTTACAGAATCCAACAGATTACATGGTCAGACACATGTTACAGATTCCAACACATTACATGGTCATCACACGTTATAAGAATCTAACAGATTACATGGTCAGACATCATTATTACAGATTCCAACAGATTACATGGTCAGACACATGGTACAGAATCCAACAAATTACATGGTCTGACACATGTTACAGATTCCAACAGATTACATGGTCAGACACATATTTACAGAATCCAACAGATTACATGGTCAAACACATGGTACAGAATCTAACAGATTACATGGTCAGACACATGTTCCAGAATCCAACACATTACATGGTCAAACACATGTTACAGAATCTAACAGATTACATGGTCAGACACATGTTCCAGATTCCAACACATTACATGGTCAGACACATGTTACAGAATCTAACAGATTACATGGTCAAACACATGTTCCAGAATCTAACACATTACATGGTCAGACACATGTTCCAGAATCCAACAGATTACATGGTCAAACACATGGTACAGAATCTAACAGATTACATGGTCAGACACATGTTCCAGAATCCAACAGATTACATGGTCAAACACATGGTACAGAATCCAACAGATTACATGGTCAGACACATGTTACAGAATCCAACAGATTACATGGTCAGACACATGTTACAGAATCCAACAGATTACATGGTCAGACACGTGTTACAGATTCCAACACATTACATGGTCAAACGCATGGTACAGAATCCAACAGATTACATGGTCAGACACATGTTACAGAATCCAACAGATTACATGGTCAGACACATGTTACAGATTCCAACACATTACATGGTCAGACACATGTTACAGATTCCAACACATTACATGGTCAGACACATGTTACAGAATCCAAGATTACATGGTCAAACACATGGTACAGAATCCAGCAGATTACATGGTCAGACACATGTTACAGAATCCAACAGATTACATGGTCAGACACATGTTACAGATTCCAACACATTACATGGTCAGACACATGTTACAGATTCCAACACATTACATGGTCAAACACATGGTACAGAATCCAACAGATTACATGGTCAGACACATGGTACAGAATCCAACAGATTACATGGTCAGACACATGTTACAGAATCCAACAGATTACATGGTCAGACACATGTTACAGATTCCAACACATTACATGGTCAGACACATGTTACAGAATCTAACAGATTACATGGTCAGACACATGTTACAGATTCCAACAGATTACATGGTCAGACACGTGTTACAGAATCCAACACATTACATGATCAGATACATATTACAGATTCCAACACATATTACTGGGCCTGAAACACATCATAATGTATCAACTTTTACTGTCATTTTTTATACTGTCATTAAGTGATGAGTTCACAGAGTTAACAAATTTTCTGATATGCTTAAATGTAGCAAAGGATACAAGACTGAATAAATAATAGTTTGCAATATAAAACCTAACATGTTGGGGGGTCCAGGAAATTTTATTTGTTTACAAATATTACTGTGGTTCTTTGTTTTAGAAAATATTTGTTAAAGGCAAGCAATACATTCTCAGTTAACATATTATTTTTGGCAAGGAACTTAGCTTTGTTTATATCCCTATTCATGTATGACCTTTCTGTCAAAGTTTAGATGAAACATGTTTTATTTTTCAGAGTATTTTTGAACTGACAGGATCATTTCCCCGCTCAAAGCTAGACCAAATGAGAGAAGAGTGTCGGAACAAAGTCAAGTGAAGAAATCGTTTTGTTCTTGACTGGAGCAGAAAATGTGCAATACGACCAAATTCCAATCATTAATTTAAATATGTCATAGACTATTTTACATGTGATAATAGCTATTTTACTGAAGAGAATATAATTTTGATCATATGTATCCAATATTATGTACATTAAGCTATGAAATTTTAATCTTAAAGATTAAAATTTGATGTGTTGTCCAACTGGTAACATATAATTAGTCATGATGAAAACAGTACCGGTATTTGTTTTATGGAACACACATGTGATGGAATGGAATGTGAAAGAATATATTTTGCCCATTGAAATATGGAGGTGAACATTAACATGCTAATGATATTAAAAGATTTTCTAACGGTATTTTTCATAGAGAATGTATGTAGGCAGAAGCAAATTGATTATATATTTATTGGAAACATTCTAGTGATTTCCAAAGAGGTTGTAGTTTTTTTGCACTGGTAAACTTATGATCACCATATTTTTTAAAATTTTAATTTTATGATGAATTTATCACCTTAGTAGACCCTTTCATCATATCACTTCAGACGAAAACATGAAATGTAACAATAATCAATCGGTTGTGTTATTTTTTAGCTAATTTCGCTTTGAGTTGTTTGAAAGGGGCTTGTGGTTTCTTTGGAGCATAACATTGTAAAGGCCATGTGTTGCCTACTTTTGATGATATAGTTGTAATTTCCTTAGGAGTTTGGGGCGGTGGGGTAGTCTAGTGGTTAAAGCGTTGGCACGTCACTCCGAAGACCGGGTTCAAATCCCCACATGGGTACAACGTGTGAAGCCCATTTCTGGTGTCCCCAGCCGTGATGTTGCTGGAATATTGCTAAAAGCGGCGTAAAGCCAAACTCAGTCAGTCCTTAGGAGTTTATTAATGATGATTTTTAAACTTATCCTATCTCACGGTATGCATCTTCTTATTCTTCTTCGACCATGTGTGGAAACGTGCTATAGCTAAGTTGAATTGAATCTTTCTGGCCTCTAACCACCTGACCTCTGCCCCCACTCTGACATCGGCACCTGTCAATCATCTCTATAAGCGTGCATATCGCTCAGATGATCACGTGACATCCTGTGCCTGTCATTCTGGTCTTGGAGCTTCCTGTAATCCGAGATGTGGGGCAGGTCGGGTGGGCATTCGCGTGAGAGAGGATAAGTACGGTTGGCAGGTGGGCCGCAGATTACCCTGTCTATTCTACAACCGTGAGGACGCATAGCACAAGGAGGCCAGGAGACAGCACCAACCCCCGTTATGCTAACTCCAACTTGTGATGGGTTGCTGCAGATAACCCCTTGGCTTACACAGCACAAAAACTCTAGGGAGTGGGCGCTCCCGAATTAGTGTGGTTTTCAGCCGCAACTTTTGACAAGCAAATGGACACAGTTTGGCAAGTAGGCCCCGCCTCCACGCGATTTATCAGGTGACCCCAGTATTCTGGCCAGTCCCTGCTTCGAAACTACCCCCCACAGACACACGCTGGAAGGCGGTGAAAGAGGGAATAGCCCGGATGCTCAACTAGTTTAACGTTCAGTCCTGAGTGTTTACCTGCAATGCATTATGGATAATAATTAGGGGATTCCCCTAAGTTAATCATGGTTTAATGACGGGACCTTTATTAGAGGCATACTTAGTTAATGGGTGTGTAAATAAGGGTAAACATTAAGAATTCAATAGATGAGCAGTGTTTAATTGATGATTACATAATTACGCGTTGATGCAACTGGCTCCTGGATGTTAATGAAGACTGAATGAGACAGATGAAGGTCTCTCTATCTTAGCCGATCGATGTGTCAGCTGCAGATTGATTTTGGTCACTGGAGTTGCTAGTCCAGACTTGAATATTTACATATCATCATGACACTGCCTGAATATCGCAGAGGGCAGCTTGAACAACATTCAGTCACTGATCATGAGAACATGATTGTTTTCAAATTTCAAGACTCTTCATGTTACAGGTATATAGACAACAGTATCTGTTATAATTATTCACTTTACTTGCAATGTACGGGTAATGGGGAGGCTAGTGGTTAAAGCATTGACTCATTTGCTTGAAGAACCGGGTTCAATTCCCCACATGGGTACAATGTGTGAAACCCATTTGTGGTGTCCCCTGCCATGATATTGCTGGAGTATTGCTAAAAGCCACGTAAAACCCAACTCGCTCGCTCGCTCACTGCTCGCTCGCTCACTCACTCTTCACTGTACTCAAATCATTTTGGTGTGAAATATGCAATGAACAAAGGACATGTTTCTGTGTACATTTCATATGCATATCTTATTTTATAAGGTGTTGAATATTAATTTGATCGAAATTATTCACATGTTTTTCGTTTTGGTTACTTCCTCTCAACATTTTCTGATGAATTCACCAGAGTGTTGAGACAGAAATGGTTGTGTCATTGATTTTGTTGGTTATTGTGAAAATGTATCTAATGTTTGTGTCCTTACTTGGTGAAATATGAAAATGCATTAACCAGTGGGCGGCAACATTTACATCGATATATCCTTGTGATCTGGGCGTTGGGCTAGCAAAGGGATTGAAGGGTTCCGCTCATCATGGTGGACATCTGGGCTTGATTCCCCACATGGGTACAATGTGTGAAGCCCATTTGTGGTGTCCCCAGCTGTGATATTGCTGGAATATTGCTAAAAGCAGCGTAAGACTAAACTCACTCACTCTGCTAGTGATCTACTGAATAAGATTCAGTGAATATAGTCATGTCAACATTGTTTTACAGACACAAATATTTACAGACCATCGCCATATAGCTGGAATATTGCTGAGTGTGGTGTTAAACAGACAAAACAGAATAGCTAAATCTCTGGTCAAAGCTGTATGAAACATGTACTTCTTCACATATTGTTGATTGCTCAGTCCATTTCCCATATTACTTGAGATTTATTTTGTGCAATATATTCACTTGTGTTTTGTCCAAGGTTTTATTTGATGCAGTTTTGATTTTATTTATAATCACCAATCGTTTACAATTGTCAAATATTTGTATATATTTTGGTGTGTGATTTTGTCACTGAAGAAATGTGGTGTTATTGGTGATATTTTCATATTGAATGTATCATGTTTCAATGATGTACAAGGTCGTGTTATAACTCACCTTGCAATACAATGTCAAGGCCCTTATCAAGCACAATCTGCAGAACTGATGTGAATGTTCATCTAATACTCTGTCTCTTCAGTGCTTCTTTTGTCTCACATTCCTTTTTCTCAAAATCACAATTTTCTGTTCATGCTGTGGGACAAATAGTCTACTTTTTGCATTTGCATTATATAAAAAACAACTGGTTTAATAAAATCCGTTTTGTATGCCAGATATATTAGTTTCAACTAAACCAAACATGAACTGCAGAAGAGAATTTGTAATACTGTATAATGTCAAACAGAAGCTTTTTCTAGGTTCTTCATAATTAATAAGTAGCTAATCCTAACATTATAATTTATATATTATGATCCTCAAGGTAAATTCTTTTTAGCATCTTTTGTATTATGTCTGTGTAAAGATTATTATGCTCAAAAGACCAATTGTATTAAATTGAATGCTGTTTGTTCAGTTATATTTGACCTTGACCTTGTGTGTGAGGTCTTTATCATGGTAATATGTTAATAGTGATCCTTTACACCTCCCATGAGGTCAAGGATAACAGCTTTCACCTTGACCTTTTGAACTTTGGGGTGGAGGATAACATTGACCTTTTAAGGCAGTTTCAGAAGTTGACAAACCTTTTGGAATTTGTCAACTTGTGTTTTCACTCAACAAATTTGTGTTGCTGTTACTTTGTACCTTTTCACTGCATTGACACCATTTTGTAGCAGATTAAGTTTGAAATTAAGTGATACCTATGCTGTTTCTGATTGGTCATAAACAACAAGCAATATAGCCTTGACATCAGTTACAATTACCTGTCCCTTCCGTAACTTTTACCTGACACCTTTCCATTTTTGCTGATCAACTTTAACACAAAAACAAGTGATTAACACCCGTACTCAGTATCCACACTTTGTACTCGGATCGTTGTATAAACGGAGACTGAATGATAATGACAAACAGCCACCTCATAGTTATCTTTCATTCTTGTAAATGTTGAATCGTGTACATCTCAAAAAGTGCTGTGGAACCAGGGGTGGAAATAACCCATTGCCCGACGTCCGAGTCCAGTGTTGGGCAAGCAAATTTGTATATTACACTGTAACAGTGTCCAGTTGACTTTCCAAAGTTAATTATGTTGTTTATGTAAAAAATCAACAAGAAAACGGCCGGTATAGTGGAAAAATTATCAGGGCAAGTGATTTTACATGTGCCACTGTACCAGAGTACACTAGCAATTTTCAAGTTATTTCCACCCCTGGGAACTGAGACAGGGAATGGATAATCATTTTGATCCATTACAGACTTTTATATTTCTCTTCCTTATGTAAAGTGTTTGAAAAATTATATTTATAATTGACATTAAGCAATACAATTGTTTTTGCCTCTGTCAGTAGTCATAAGATTACTTTCTGCACAAGGTAGTGCTCTTTGACAAAGGCAAAAGCACATCCATCCACCAAATTCTGTTTTCTCTGACAATAGGTAGTTTTTTTCCGCCTTATAGTCAAAGAAATTTAATATTTTTAAAATAGACATTTTCCTAACCTTGAAAAAATATTGTTTTCCTGACTTCTGCCTGACCTGTAACTATCCTGACCTGTCTCAGGTCAAAATCACGTTTGAAAATGGAAACTTGTTGACTGACATATTTTTGACAATAAAGAACAAATCTATTTCTCCCACTTTACAAACTTGTCTTCAGACTGTGTAGGCAAACTATGTTACATTACATGTGAGGGCACGAGAGTTAGACCAACTACAAATACAACATCATAGACGTTCAACCAGACCCATTTAGATATTATTTAAACTGCTATTAAGAATTGCCTCCCTTATTTGCACCAGGATCTGCTGATGGATAGAGAGAAACTCTGAACATATCCATACTGTACCTGTACTCATTTATTCACGAAAGTGGTAAACATGGACAACCTACACCACTTTTAGCTGACATGAAAACCAAAGCAAACCTACGCCCATCTCACTGATTAACCCGCTCAGCATGAACCCAAGCGCTGTAAACATATCGGAAAGACGTCCGCCCGAATCTTACCAACATATCACCATGAGTGTGTAGTCATTGTTGTAACAAAGATGATCAGTAAATCCCAAGGACATTGCTGTGATTGGCTACTCACACACAACCTCCTTAAATGAAGATCTTTAGTCCGATTCCGTACTCTCTCCATCAAGATCCTACAGGAGAACTTGTCAGGTGAACCACAAGCAGTCACCAAATCAGTGGGAAGGATGCTCTGTTTTAAGCTTATCAGAACGTCAGCATTCCGCTGCCCTTATTATTCCCATCTGGAACTGCTTGTTTACATCTATTTTCAAGATACAAAAATCAGATTGCTTGTCTGAATGGTTCTCATACCAAGAACGAGAAGCCTTTGGAAGAGTGGAAAGTTCACCGATTGTGAAATCCAATGATCTTGATGAAAGGGTATTAGATCAGAGTTAAAGATCTGGTTTTATGAGATTGCAGTATTCACCCTGAGGATGCAGCAATAAAATGCCTTATCCAACCTTCTTGTTGTGTTGTCTTGACGATGTCCTGCATCAACATTTCGTGACATCCTCAGAAGTATGGACACCAGTGAGGCTTCAGTGAAGCAAAGC